TTTACAAGTTTCTGATTAAAAGGTAAGATATACAATGATAAGCATAATTTCCCCGTGTCTATTCTCCAACCAGTTTTCAGATTAGGAGCTGTTCGAAAAAGTGCCTACCTAAATAGGCAGGAGGATGTCATATAAATTACTGGAGGGGGATATTCTAAAAGGATCAAGCCAGAACAAGTCCCACTACCACAACAAATGATGCATTGTTTCCTGACCCCTCCCCAATCTTACATGGGAAGGAGACCCTCAACATTCCTATTCAAGACATGTAGCCTGGATAAATGAGTTTTACCTGCAGGAGACAGTTCTAGATTTACAGCATTTGAATGCTGAGCCATGTAGATTTTATAAGTTAAAACTGCACTTTTAAATGATACTCAGAAGCCTATCCTACTAGCCAGTGCAGAGCTATCAATCATGGAACGTAACACTAATATAATAAGATAATGGTAGCTCTCATCCACCAATATGCGGGCTGCTATGTTTTGTACCAACTGAAGTTGTTGGGTAGTCTGCAGAAGGCACAGTGAATAAAAAGCAATTTGCAGTACTGTATTGTGTTCTAGAGGTGATAAGGAGAGGATTCACTGCCATTAGGGCTTCTCCTTCCAGGAAGGGCCATAGCTAGCACATCAATCAAAGCTGGGCAAGACTCCACTAGCCATGCCCTCCACTCACCTCATAGTTTCTATGAGTCTGGGAGAAAACCAATGTTTCAAGGGAGCACAACTCCTAGCACAGCATAAAGTGAGCCAGATGATTTCTGGAAAAAAATGGCAAGCCTTCCTTAACAGGGTTCAACTTCACCCAATTTTTTTCCATCCATCTCCTCACAGCTTCCAAGAACCAGGTCAAGACTCCAAATGTATATTCAGCTTAGACCAGGTTAGATCTGAATATGACCTGTGTAACAAGATACCTCAGCCCCTAATGACAGATGACCTCTCCCCATAGCTTCAGATATATGTTAAAGAAGAGAGGAGAGAGAATTGAACTCCATTATGCAGCACAAATAAGCAATAGATTCTCTTCTGCCATGATAAACTAGTGCCGCCACCCCCGCAAGCAATGTAGAATGATATCATGATTGATGGTATTAAAAAGGTCTAAAAGAAGCTGGAAGGATTGCATCTATACGGTTAATGCAATAAAACAGGGCTGTCAAACTTGTGGGCTGCTGGCCAGATGCATCACGCATTGGCCACGCCCATGCCTGGTTTAGGGAAGGGGAAAAAAGTCATGATACGTCACGTGATGACACCATGACGATGCAAATTTGACACCCCTGCACTAAAAGATCTGAATTGAGCCTCTCCGTTGCTTGTTCATGTTCCTACTACAAAAAAGGCCTAGCCATAAAGGATAAATTATCCAGCAAAAATTTCCTGAGAGAAAGAAAAAATTTGGTTGTGCTGTTGATCTTGAGTTAATTATTCTTCTAAAACTGGTCCATGTTGCATGGCTGATGTGAGAAGACTGAAGGGCTAATTCCAGGTTTGCTGACCTGGGACAAAGAATGGGATACACCTGCATTTGATATCCATTATATATACTGTATATTGCATGCATTACCTAGGATAAAATATAAAATTATACATTATATTATATAGATACTATACCGTATTTTTACAAAGAGGGTTTTTTTTTAAAGACAAGTATGTTTAAGGGCTTGCTGCAAGAATTTTATGTTCCATATTTATGAGTACAAGGTGTTCCCAACTGATTAGAGTATGTAAATGAGCAGTGGAAAAGAGCCACATTTCCTATGATATTGAGGCTCTTTACTAGAAGCTATCGAAATAAAATAATTCTCACTGATGGACTGCTGACATTATAACGAAATGATTAATTCCAAATAGTTCAACCTATCTCATAAATAAAACAAGCAGCTGTGTGATTGATTGACTGATTATGTGCCATCAAGTCAATGTTGACTCTTAGTTACTAACATGGATAAATTTTCTCCATGATGTTCTGTCTCCAACCTGGTGCTTCAGGTCTTCCAAATTGCTATGCAGCTTCTCTCAATCAAGAAAGGTTAACAAACTCCCTGAAAAACTGGGCTTCAACTTATTTGTATTTCAAGTAAGCTTGTGGGCCTAATTCAAAGTGGTTATTATCTTTAAAGTTCTTTAAACTGCAGCATTGAGATACATTAGGCAATAATTTGACAGAATGAAATCTGCCCATCTGGACCAGCTGTTTAGGGAAGGTCTGTTGAAAATCCTACCCCTCATGAGAACCAAGGGAAGAAGGTAGACCAAATATTCTCCCCACAAAGATATGGGGAGCTCCTACCATTCTTGCATTTAATAAAAACTAGGTGATTTGATTGAAAATACCTATTTTAAATATTTTGTTCATCAACATGACTTTTTTTTGCTTTGCTTTTGTAATTACTATAATCTCTGATTTTAATGGTGCTGTGTGCCATCAAGAGTCCTTCATGAGTAAGATGGCGTACAAATATTGTTTCAATGACAAATAAATACAGTACTAATTTATATACATAAGAAAAATAAATCAAATATGCAAGTCTAGGATGGGGATAACTGGCATGATAATACCACTTGTGGAAGATATTAGAAGAAACATAAACTTCATATGAGTTACCAGTGTATTTTGGCTGCAGAAACATAATGCTGTTTCAGAAAGCAAAAATAAGATTATAGTTTCCAAATCATGGGAAGTAATTTTCCACTATATTCTACATATGTCAAACCCAGCCTCGAGTATTGTGTCCAGCTTTGGGTACCACATTTTAAAGAACATATAGAAAACTGGAACTGATAAAGATAAGGGCAATGACGATGATGAGAGAACTGCAAGTCTTACATGGAGTGATTAATGACTAAGGAAAGATATGAGAACCAGTGTGAGACAAGGGTTAAGGGGGTTGGACCAGATCTGAAGAAACCCAAGCTCATGTCCATCCTCAGCCAAGGAAGCTTGTTAGATGATTTTGTGGGGATCAAATTGGAGTAGGGAGTGCTGTCATCTTGGGATCTTGGTGAAAAGTCAGAATTTAAATCCAACAGTAATAAAAATAAAAAATAAACATGACAGCCCTTTTTAAATCCCTGAAAAAGTGTTACATAGAAGGTAAAGATGAAAGCTTGTACCACAAGGCAGAACACGGGTGTTCTCAATATAAAGCGTATAACTGCTAACTGTAAATTTTAATGTCTCGAGAATAAAAGCTATTTGACAGTGGAACCAATAATGTACTCCTGTATACAGAGCTGAGTCCTGAGGAACAGATGAAAAAAAGGGTGACAGAGGAGCAGTTTCAGATGCTTTAAGTTTTAGACTTCAGGAAAAATTTGGGGACAAACATGTTACATTTATAACAAAAGATATGGTAATTTTTTGATCAAGCTTCGTAAGTCTTTCAGCATATTGCTGCATTCTTTTTTTCTTTCTTTTTGATAGGTAGCCAAGGAATGTGGTAATAGAGGCTATGATTCAAGAAAGTCAAATGGAGGCTGGTGCATCTATTGGCTTGAGCTGGTAAGTATATTTGGAATTATGGGTCACAAGCATTTTCCCAATAAGGCTGCCATGAAGGGATTTTACTCTTACAACTCTTTTATGAGCAGGCATGCAAGCGTTTTGCCTGCATTGTTTCCTCCAACCCTCTCTCCAAGCCATGATCCATTAGTCTTGGCAGATAGGTGTATTTCCAAGCAAGGTACTGAACTGCAGTCACTTACCATATTTATTTTTTTAGAATATTAGGTGAGCCCCGGAGGCATCCTTTAAAGAGCATCGGAGAAATCTGTGCTGCATCCTTTAATATAAAGAGGATGCTAGAAGTTTGCAGTAGTAAAATATTTTCTTTAAAAAGTCAGATGGGGAAGGAAGGCTAACTGAAGGCTGAAAGTATTTGGGTGTCGATGGGTAGTATAGCACGTTGCTTATTTATCAAATGTTATCTTTTATTTCTTCTCCATTAGAGGCCACTAGAGATTGGACAGCCATTTGCCCAGAATGTTAGGGTCTCCTATTTGACCAAGGGGTCAGATTAGAAGACTTCTAAGTTCCCTTCCAACTCTGTTATTCTGTATTCTGTAAGACAAAAACCCATTTAGATCAGGGGTCTCCAACCTTGGCCACTTTAAGACTTGTGGACTTCAACTCACAGAATTCCTCAGGAAACTGGTCAAGGTTGGAAACCCCTGATTTAGATGATGTCTCCCTACTGAAAAAGTTTTCTAAGGCTGTGCAAAACTTTAAATTTAAAAGGAACACAAGGGGGCGCAAATATAACACCTGTCTGCAACTCCTGAAGCAGCTGCTTCTCTTCTGGGGATCTTGCCTTGCATAGATGCTGAGCTACTCCATCAAAAGATGTGTTGGTAGATAGTTGTTGTATGTGCCTGCACCCACTCTTAAGCATCTTTTGTCTTTAAATCTGTAATTCTGCATAGATCTAGTGCCTTCTAACTGTCCTCTAGCACCAGAGTGACATGCATTTTTCTTGCTTTTTGTAATAAATAGTAGTAAAAGATCCGCAGACTCAGAACTATTGAGAAATTTCCTTCTGCCACAATGAACAACCAGCAAAACAGGTGGTTAACTGGGGAGAAATATACGTCTGGCATGCTTACACTTTATGTTTACCTCTCTCATTTGTCTCCTCTTGCATGAAGAAGCCAGAGAGAGGACAGTTCTGTGACCTCACTTGTGCTGAGCTGCTGCTGCAATATTTTAGCGAAGCTTAGAATAAATTATCTGGAAACCAAATCGATAAATCCATAAAATGCTTTCCATCTACTGAGCCAAAGGATGTTATTTTGATAAAGAGAATTTTTAAGTGGACAAACTCTTTATGCTATCAGATGATGCTGCATGTTCATTTCAAACTCCTTTCGCAGGCCCTCGCCAACAATGCTTCACTCCTGTATTAAATTAATCCCTTCTCCCCCTAAAAGTCCATCAAGTACAGAGTAAAACTGGAGTGGAGAAAACACAGAGACACACACAAGAGTGCAGTGTACCTCTGGGCCAAAGGCAGCGGGAGAAAGTTGAGAGCTGAGGTCATATCGAGCCCACAGTCCAACATGATGGTGGTAGATTTGAACTTGAGTACGTTGCATGGTAAAGTCGGATGCCCAGACAAGCAGTACTAAAAAAAATATCAGATGAAATATCCAGCATTAGGAAAAGATAATAGTACACTCAAAAGACAGGAAGACAGGACTTGAAACTATCCAAGCATCCTTATCATGTTTAAATACCATTTTAATATTTAAAGATTACTAGATGATAATTCTTAACCCATTCCTTTGGATACATACAAAAATAATTTTTACTATTGTGCAGTATTTCTCAGCATCTGCTGACTTTGGTTCACTCCTGTTTGAGAGGAGAGAAGCAACCTAGAACTAAGAAGAAATTTCCTGACAGAACAATTAATCAGTGGAACAACTTGACTCCAGAAGTTGTGAATGCTCCAACACGGGAAGTTTTTAAGAAGAGATTGGATAACCATTTGTCTGAAGTGGTGTAGGGTTTCCTGCTTAGGCAGGGGGTTGGACTAGAAGACTTTGAATGTCTCTTCCAACTCTGTTACTCCTGTTCTGTTATTTGTCTGGTTTATGGCTATTTGTGCCTACCAGAGTGTAATTAACATTTCCTAAATTAATATTCATCAAGCTGTGTTGTACTTCACTGAACAGCAATAGAGGCAACTGAAATGCAGATTGCACTCCGAGTACAATTGTATTTATGGCAGGAAAATAATGTGATGGTTTGCAATGAACATTTCACCATCCAGTTTCTGAATAGGAAGGGAACTCAGTCCATTTTACCGGGATCAGATGTTCAAGTAAAAATGATCATTTGAAAAGATCCAGGATATATAGAAGCAGATTCGCCAGCTGCTATCAGCAGAAGCAGTGAAATTTGAGATCTGTCGCCCCCAAAGTTGAGCAACTTCTATTGCTTAAACTTTCAGCTGGAGAAAAAGGTCAGGAAATAAGATCAAGAATCTTGATCTTTCATTGAATGTTTCTAATATCTGTGCACTCTTGTACTTGGAGACATGGACAAGAAAGAGGAAAGGGCACAGAGCCATTAAGAGCTATTGATAGATTTAGACATGGTACATTGACATTAAGGAGAAAACATTATCCTTCTTCTGAGATGAGGAGGAAGAATGCTCAAGTCTTTCAGACTTCCAGAAATTCTCAGAGATTCCCATATCAACAACATATTCAATGGGCAGCACATGTGTGTATGCAGGTATGTGTGTATGTGTACATGTGAGAAAAAAAAACAATTATAAAGCTGAATGAAGTTAAGGTGGAAATGTACATGTTAGGAACCAAGCCAGTTTATAGGTTAAATGTTTCAGATGGAAGGTAGTACCCGAACAATAAACAATGAAAAAAAAAAACCTTTTATCCTTTTCTGATCTATTATGGCTTATGGAATTTTTGAACAATAAAAAACATTATCATCCCCATATTAAACAGATACACTAGGTATCATTTGGTTTCTGGACATGACTGATGGTGTAAAATATGATGTGTCTAGACTCATATGGCTTAAAGTCAATTACCATCTTCTTTTACAGTATTATGGTATAAGTTACAGATACAATTAACATCTATACTGTAGCTAACTCTGCTTTTTCTATAGAAACTCCTTTTGGTGTTTAGACTGCTGCACTTAGAGGTCGGCTTCTAACATCTTTCTACCAAGGTCTTTTAGTTTAGATATTGTTATGCTGGCAATATTTCAATGGTTTTAATCACTATATTGAATTTTAAATTGGATTTTAGATATTCATAAGCCACTAAGAACCACAAAATGGGAGCAGTCATATATTACATTTCAAATAAGTAATACATGGAAAGGCATAATATGTTTAAACTGCAGCCAGTAAAAGTGACACAACATTTAGGCTGCAATCCTGGGCGTATTCAGGATTGGGAGCAAGTCCTATTTAAAGCAATGAAAAGTAAACCAGAATGAACAAACAGTATACATTTCCTGAATCAGTGCCTCCTTCATTTTTCCCGTCCTCCTTCCTCTATCCTTTTCTTGGTGTCTATACTGTTGCCAAGAAGCTTTTCAACATAAGAATTACAATAAATAAATACTATAAGTGAACAGCCTATTCTTGAGCAAAAGTGTAATATGCTAATCTCTTTAAAATGCAATGAATGTTAGGTATTGGTCTCAATTTCCCTAAAACACAGGTGTCAAACTTGCAGTGTCACGTTGCCGTCATGTGATATTTCACAACTTTCCCCCCCTTTCCAGAGCTGTGGTGGGCGTGGCCTGAACATAACACATCTGGCCTGTGGGCTGCCAGTTTGATACACCTGCCCTACAAGAAGTTTTAATTCACTAAAAAGGAATAAAACTGATACAATCAGGAAATATTTTGTTAAAAATGTTTTAAAATACTACATTTTCCAAATAAATAAACCTCAAATGTTAACTTTTTTATTATCTGATCCGACACTTCAAAATTTCTATCAAATGAAAATAAATGATAAAATAAAATAAACAAAAGAAAAAAAACAGCATGAAATGAAAGTAACCACCTAAAATTTTCTTCTCTTACCCCAGAAACCTTATATAACAAATTTTCCTCACACTGATATCTTCAGATGTGGTACACCACTTGTCATGCCTGTTGGAATTTGATTGGGAGGGGGAGGCCGAGCAGCTGAGAGGGAGTAAGAGTGTGGCTCTCTTGGCTGTGGAAGAAACTGGGGAAGGGCAAAGGCTGGGCACAGCAGGAGAGGTAGAGCAAGGGAGAGGGAATTTGTAGGAAGACCCACGCACACCCCTCTCTTCATCCTAGGGCATATGCAGGGAGGGAGAAGGGAGCAACATGAGTTGTGTGGTTTACGGGTGAGGAAAGGGACCTGATTCCCTTCATTAACTGCAGCTGGAAACACAGTGTTTAAAAAGGGAAGCTGCTCATAGCAAAGTTGTTGGGAGTGAATTATCTGGTATCATAGAGGCTTATCTGAGTTCCTGGTGTCTTCCTCTGAATTCCCTCTCTTGCTCTACATCTCCCCTTCTCTGCCCAGCCAGCCTTCGCCCTTCCCCAGTTTGTTCCCCAGTCAACAAGCCACTTCCTGTCAGCTCCCCCCACTCCCCTCCAAATCAGATTCTGACTGACACCACTGTATCCTTGAGCCAACACATATTGGCTGGGGATATTAAGAATTCTAATCCAAAACATTTGCAGGGTACAAATTAGAGAACGCTGTTTGTATTTCAAGGATGTGCTTTGTCTAGCTTTGAACATTATTTTACTATTACTAAAATAACTGTTTGATGCTTTTTAATATCAAATGAAAAATGAAGGGCATGTGATGCTAGGATAGTTTTCCCATAAGGCTTTCAAGGATTTGTAGTCTTATTTGCATGTTAGGCCTTTGCATTATTTATACAATGCAGGCAACAAAGGAGATGTCCACAATGACCTCAGCATCAGGTTTTGTTTAAAGTAAGAAAGTATACTTGATTTCAAAATAATTCTAATATGCAATTAATAAAAAAAGCTTGTGAGATCAAAACCAGAAAGTCAGAGCCTTTGCAATCTTGCAGGCAAGGAAGCCAGTACAGTATAGAAGCTAAGTATAGACTTGAACCAGGGGCACCAAGTTTCAAATCTCCACTCAGCCATAGATCTCACTAGCTGACTTTGGACTGTCACTCTCTCTTAATTCAACCCATATCACTTGAGTTGTTTATGTAGTGTTCTCTCTTGCATCAGAATCTTAGGCACTTGGAGCTTTCAAGAAAAAAAAGTTATATAAAGTCAATAATAGTGACATTGGATATCCATCAGGTGAGAGCCAATGCAGCCGTATTAAATAGTGCACTTTTATATTGTATGGCAGTTTAAATTTGTGAACTGCAACTCTTACTGGGGAGATAGAAAGAGGCAGACACTCATGCAACTGTTGAATGCTGCATAACTTCTATAGAGCTTAGCATTTAATTCAATATGTCATAATATGAGGAATAATCGAAGAAAGATTTTTGCCTATCAGACATTTACCATTTATTTTTATTTCTATATCATTCTTTCTCCCAGAAATATCCAAAGAGTTTACATAGGTGGGTGGGGGCAGGAGTTGCAAATAAAACTAACGAAGCTAACAATAAAGACAATACATTATAGTTGGCTGGGAAAAAAAACTCCAATAACTGAGACTCATCAAATTAAAGTTGCCCCAACAAAATGGATCATGAGAAACTGCAAACCCTCCTTTCAGAGTTCCACTACAAAAGAGGAAAATTAGTTGGCCCTTCGTGTCCGTCCTCAAATCTCCTTCATCAAAACCCACCAATAGTGCACCCAACTCACCAGCTTCATGCTTTACCCGGCTCTATATACGGCGGACCATGCTTCTCTTTCCTGGTCTAAACCTCTTCCATTGCATCCTGGGCAATGTAGTCCATTACTGGAGCCCGCCCTCTTATTCACTCCGCCCACCGCAAAATGATGTCTTGAGCAGCCATATCTTCGCCGACCTGGAGAGCACGATGGGAATCGTAGTTTTTTCTCGCCCTGATCATCACTCTCCCGTTTATTGGTGTGGCAGTTCTAGCGCAGGTCTCTGGGAGTCGTAGTCCTAGACGGCCCACTTTATCTTCTTCCCCCTGGGAAGAAGGAACTACAAGTCCCAGGGTCTCACAGCGGCAGCAGGTGGGAGCTTGGATGTTGATATCAACATGGCGCTTGTCAGACAGACAAAGGCAGTCAGTCTGGTCTGATTGAGCCCAAAAGGGAGCAGGAAGAGAAGTGGGAGGGGTTTTTTTCTTTCCTTGGGGGGTTGAAGGGAAGCAGAGCTTGGGAGTCTGAAGTGATCCCCCCCTCTGGAGCTCCTCTCCATTTTATTTTGCAGTATCCCCTAAAAAAGAAATCTCTTTGCTTTTCCTATTTGGGAGCCACCCCCAACTTCTGCTTCTAAATGGTCAAGTGGAGAAAAAAGTAGCCAGAACCAAAACGTGAGTATCCTTTTGACGGCGAAGGGCACGATCAGGGCTGTTCGGGAGCGAAGGGCGATCGTGCAAAGGAAGCGGAGGAGGAGAAGAGGGTCTTCTTGTCTTTTTCCTTTTGTTTTGATCCGGGCTAGTGGTCTTTCTTTTTCTTTTTGTCCGTTTGGGACTGGAGGGATGAATAACAGTATTTCTTTTCGGGAACGCATCCCGAGTGACTTTGTGAGATCTTGAGAATTTTAAGAGTGGAGAGAGGACGAGGAAAAAAAATATGTCCCCCCCCCCCCAATCTTCTTTTCTTTTTGCAGCTGAAGGAGGAGAGCCTGTTAAACGAGCTCTATTTTTATTTAGACGATCAGAAGTTTTGAGGGTACAGCGGCCAATTCTTTCCCCCTCTTTGATCAGTAGCGTTAACATCGATTCTGTTGCCCCAGTTTAGGCTACTCTTTATGAACAGGCAGAGAGATAGGATGGAGGCATTTGCAACCTTTTTTAAGTAATGGTGGTTTTGATCTGTGCTTCAGAGGGGATGGGTTGGGGTTTTTTTGTGGGGGGGGGGAGACCTTTACAAACAGTGATAATGGTTCTGGATTAGTTTTTATTGTGGGGGGAGTAGGAAATTATAGTATCTCTGTGTGGTTTTATTTTGCTCCGTTTGGATTTTCCCAAGCTTCTGGAAATCTTGAGCTACTGTTATAGCACCCGAGGTAACCTTGCAATGCATTTATCTGGGCAGGGTTACTCTCATCGGATACAATATTTTCCCCAACAAATCTCTTTTTGCATAGGTCAGGGTGATGATTTTCCAAGGCACCTAAAGAGGTCAAAGAGGGATACACTAGATTTGTAAGTCTCCACATTCCATGCAAGTGATATGGACAAGAAAGCCTGGATTGTATGATATGTGGGATGATGATGGGGTTCGCTTCCTACTTTACTGTTTAGATTTGCCTGGCTGTAAGAAATTATTGTCTGAGGTATTAAAGGAGGAAGGACAATGATTTGTAAAATGATCTTGGAGAGGTGGTTTTTTGGGGGGGTTAATTGGAATAGATACTAAAAAAAGTGAAATAATTCTGAGCTAAATGAGAGATATTTGGCTTCCTTGTTAAGTTTTTGTGGAGAGCTGATTTCTAGTATTGAACGATGCACTTGATGTTCAGATTATTTAGGCATCTTTAGTCATAGCTTCATTAAGATTAAGTGCTTGGTTTTAAACTTTAATAATGTTGACTCCAGGACACTGAAATTAGTTGAAGGTTTCAGGTATAATTATGTGTGTAAAACACTAATTTTTATATACCTTGTTTAGTCAAAGAAGCATTTGTTCATGGGGTTCTTGACAGTGTTTTAAATGAGAAAATATTGACAATTTTATTATGCAAAATATGCACAGGTTGGAAAAGGAGACCTCTGACTTCACAAAGTGAGAGGCTAGTGTAGAAGGAGTAGTCGCTGGAGACACTGGGGTGTGCCAGCTATTGCAGGATGAGGAAGGGATAATCTTCTTGCAAACAGAAAAGCATGACAAGTCAAATGTTGTCAGCTGTTGCTGCATTCAGCTCTTTGCAAGTGTGGAATATGATGTGGGAATATTGATTCAAATTGGAGAGTTTAATATTTAAATTACTTGAGTTTCCCCATTAAATTAATGTGTGCTGATTCAAATCGGTTATGAGCATCATCAAAGGCTGTGTTATATACTTTCTCATTCTGTGTTTGGAGGCAGTTTTAATAGCTTGTTTCCTCTCCCTCCAAAAAAAAGTTTATGCAATTGTTTGAGCCTTTTGGAAACCATTTTTCCATCCAACACCAAATCTTAGAAAATTAATAGTTATGAGCTATATTTTGAAGCTTCTTTAAAGCATTATTGAAGAATTCTATGCTTAAAGTACCATGTTTGGACTTCAGATGTTTGATTTTAAACCTCAGATGCTGTGAATTCATTGTGCAAGTTAATGTGAGCTGATGCAGCATGGTGCTTAAGAAATTATGCTGTGAAATGGGAAGTCCTCTAGTTCCCATTCTAGCTTAGCTGTGGAATCATTAACAACACAGTCCTATTCAGCTGTATTCAAGTAATTCATATAGGATTACAGCATAAGTGGCTTCATGCAAACTACCTTTTCTCAGTCTCAGCATTTTGCATATGAAATATAGTGATAAATTGATATTGCTCTTTTTCAAGGTTATTCATAAAGCTTTATGCATGTGGAATGCTATAAATATTCAGAAGCTCTGTATGAGTACTAATTTATCATTGTTTTTTAGACTTTATGCGCAAGATGAAATTGAGAGCAGAGTCTTCCTACTGGTTCTCATCTCTGTTAATAATCTAAATAAATAATATTTGTGAATCCTCTATCTGCCTGAAGAGATTGAAAAGTATAGAGGAATGCAAGGCTATCTCAGAACTTTCCTCCCTCCCTCCCTTATAATAAAAGGAACATTTTACAAAAGTGAAATAGAGCTCTATGTAAGAAAACCAAAGATTAATTAAGAGGGATGTACAATAATTGACTTGACACAATAGCTTAAGTAATATTGTGATCATGTTATATTGACTTAATGTGCATTTATCCAAATGGTTGTGACTTGTTCCTAAACCACAATAAAGTAAAACATGACTTAGTACAATTTACAAGTTTAGCCAGAGAATGTTATGAGCAAAGATTGTGCTTTAAATTGTCACAGAAGCAGTAAGAAACTAGACGGGTAGCATTTTTGGTGGTGCATGTGTGAAACTGATTTGACATAATTTTGCTATATCAATATGCAGACTGGCTGATAGTTAGCCTTAGCGCCTACTGATTAACAGATCAAGAATTTTGTTGATTGATTGCTGCCTGAGGTCTTTTAACTAGTGATTTGAGATATTGAACAGGTTACATCTGCAGGCAGACCCTTTACTCAGTCATAGGAAAATATGTTGTCTTCATTGATCATTCATCCTTTCATGGAAAATAATGTTAATATCTGAAGTTATTTTCTTGACATGGAGTGGTACTTAAAACACAGGTCTTCTGAACTTATCTGAAATGTTTGACTAATGCTTTTGGGGAAAACATGGAATATATTTGAAATGAATATCTAACCTCCAATGACTAAAGTTGATATTTGCAAATTGTCATAGTATAAATCTCTTTGCATCTTCTGCTTTCTCCTGGAATAAGAGCCTAGTTTCTTTGAAAGTTGTACATTTTGTCATAATGAAGTGTGCTTCACTTTTCACAAAGCCAAATCAGCCAACAATCTTTAGACCAAAGTAAAATCTACAAATCAGACATATTGTAGTTAAGTAGTGGGGAATGCTTCCATTCCTTTGACCTGTTCGTGATTTTGAACACATGGTTACTACTCACAGTGAATTAACTTTGCGTTCTATAAGATGAAGTAGTGGTATACTTTGCAATCTCCTATATTTTGGATTGTCACTTCACATTTCTTTCTTTGCCATTTTCTTGGAAGACCTTTTTTTTAATACTCTCCTGTCTGATCTTGACCCCTTTGTGAAATGATGGGACAAAATGCAGTATTTAATCCTGTATTATCTTTCCGTTTTCTGTCTTATTTTTTTCTTGCATTCTATTGCTATGTGATCATTTCAGGCCAAAAGTCCCATCATTGTTTCTTCAAAATTCCATGTATTTATAACCTATGTATGAATAAATATGCACTAGTTAGAATACGGTGACTTGGTTGAAAAATGTACAAAGAATGCTGCTGGATCTGATGAAAGATCCAGCAATGCAGCACGTTTTTTATTTCCAGTTTATCAAGTTATCTTCCAAAGTAATTAACTGGAGAAACAAGAAGTATAAATGGTTCTTCTGAAATGCAACATAAATGCAAGGCTCACTAGTGCAGTGTGCCCTTTGCTGTAGAGCACCAAACATCCTTTTCCCTCAACATACCAATAGATATTGGAGTAAGGAAGGATTAAAAGGAGCTGTTTAGGAAGAATATGGAACATGCAATATGGTGGGTTTTCAAGAAATCACGTGGAGCGACAGTGCATTGATCAGGCATGTATTAGATATGAATATCTTGTGCATATGTACAGATGTCTACTTGAAGTCATTCTGTGTGGATTAATATATTATGTGGAAAATCAATCTCCTAATATTCTTATGTATAATTGAATTGAACAAATAAAAATGAATACATTGACTCTGTGCGTGCTTTATTTTGCTACAAGGTCCACTACAGAGAATGGTACTTGCTCCATAGTAAATATGTCTAGGATTGTGACCATACAATAACATGACCTTTCGCGAGCTATAAAAAAAGCTGCAGATTAATTACTCTTTTAGCACCTTTTAAACCTTGTTTGTTTTGCACTTTCCAGCAGAAAGGTGGACTACCCCATCTACT